TCTTGTCACGAGATTCTGCTAGATTGTTCAACTTCGTAAAATTTCCATGCATCCCCGAAATCTCATGGGCACATCTTCACAATACACTAAAATTAGAATCCTCATGGCAATCTCATTACGTGATGCCTGTTAGATAGTAGTGATCTTATTCTGATGTCACAGAGAGATTTATAAAAACTACAAGTTTCTGTAAAGTTTAAAACATCTTTCAGCGTACGTAAACAGTTTGACCGGTCATGTATTATTTTCGTAGGAGATGGAATCTTTGCACACTCTGAATGACTTAGTTCAAGTTTATCCGCGATACGAACGATTCGTAAATCAATCTTTCTACGCCGATCGGACATTACATTGGAAAGTGTCTCTCCCCTATATACAGATATGAAATCAATACTCATGAAAAATAAATGTATTGGTCTTACCAGCGAAGATTGATATATTCGGATGTATCATTAAATATTTCGCTCATTATCGGTGCAATCATCTCAATTGCATATTCGATTTCACTCATTTCTTGGCACTTTCCGGAGTTATCAACAAAAATAAAAGGGTTTCTTAAAAATTTGTCGATTCTGAAGTAAATTTAACAATATTAATTAGCGAATAATGTAATTAAATTATATCAAAAATTAAAGAAAAAACTCACACATAAAAATAAACATTTGATATTTGTATTAACGTCTGAGAGGTATTGCTAGTTTTGATTTTATATAAATAATCTCGGGCTTCATTGTATTTGTTTGCGCCACACATCTGATTATAGTCAAACAGACATAAAGATAAGTAAACAAAGTAACATGCACACATGCTTAAAAGTCAATAGATGTCACTTTCCTCTTCAATGGTGTCTATTACATTTTCCACTTCCCTCTCGAAACCTCTCGGTTTTATATCAACAATTTCATAGACCTTTTTTTTTTAATATTAGCCCAATCCTTCTCAAACCATGAATACATTCCGCCTTCAAACTCGGATGATAAATCAATTATTGAAGACAATCCTAACCTGTATTTACCATGTTAGAAATTTCTTATTGTTATCAGTAACTTTAGAAAATATGAGACCATACCTGATGACACTTTTCGCAATTAGGGTTTGCTCTTTTTTGTCTTTTTTCAGAAATAGTTTAACCATTTCGGAAATCTTACTATTAAGAGCTTTTACAAGTTGCTGGCCATCTAGCAATTTCCACTCGGAATCTCTTTCACTTTGATCAACATAATCGCCAAACGAAACGGTATTTATATCAAGACAAAAATTTTCTTCCTTATCCGAATTATCGTCTTCACCGGGTTTTCTTTTCCTAAGCACCCTCGAAGAATGCTGCTCTTCCTAAACAAGTCAAAAAAAGGTTAGAAGAGATACTTTCGGCATTATACTGTGCATGGTTTAAGAACTTACTGGAACTATCTCTTCTTTATTCAAAGTAGCAGGACAGATTATAGCTTTTCCGCTGCTAGATATCGCCCCACCATTGATCGTTCCACCGCTTGCAATTTCCGTAAATGTCGGTCGATTATAATTAATGTGAATTCTCCCGTGCAAGCGATCCTTCTTCCAATTTTGCACTTTCTTCTTATCGGGACGAGGCCCTGACGTGATTTTGAGTGTTAGTAATTACTCTAGCTATTGTATTCTCAGTCTATCCAATGCATCTTAGAATCAGACAAGTTCAGAGGGTTATCTGTTTCTGACAGTGTCAGTCGGCTCATAGTAATATATGATGGCGTTTAAGCATCAGGCAAGTTCAGAGGGTCACCTGGCCCCAACACTGTCTTTGTGGCTCATCTCAGAGACTTGAATGGTAGAAGATCTCAGAGATCTTCTACCACACCACTTATTCTTTTGCAATAAAACTCCACAAAATTCAACTTGCCTTTCTTGTAATTATCCATCAGGTTTTGTGCTTGCTCTTTCCTTTGTCCTTTCTCTGTTCTAACAATTGTCTTGAGAGATACAATGTACTCCTCGATCTTCTGTCTGTAAGGTTCCAGGTCGCATTCATTTAGGAATCCAATAATGTTCCATTCAGATGCTTTTCGTTGGAAATACTTGTGTACCTGTTTGCAAACATAGGTGAGATGTTATTAATGTTGCTGCCAACTGAAATATGGTCAGATAAATTCTTTGCAAACCAAACAGAACAAACAAATTTTCTTGTTTTAGGTTTCATTTTTCTTCTACCTATCACCAAGAGCTCTTGTTTATTCTTTCTCTTTTGACCTACCATAAAAGTTGAAAATTATTGTGAGTTAGATGAAGCTTAGCTATATCAGAATGGGACAGGGTGATGCAAAGCCTATGCTCTGGAAGGATGAAACCCACCAAAGCACTGAGACAGAAGGTGAGAGGTGAAATCTTATACTCCAATACAGAACGAAATCCGTTTGGAGCTCCCAGCAGGATGAAACTCATATTTTGTAGACAAGAATACATTACCTTTCTCCTCATCTTTGATCTTAATAAAATTCTTCCTTTGAGATTGTTGATCAATGGTCCGAAATTTGTTATAAGACTGTTTATTATGGCCTGTTCTTAATGTATGATTCAATTATCACTACAAGAAAAGTATTGGTATTAGAGTGTTAGACAGCTTATTGCTATACCTTCACTCTGGCAAGCAAAGGCAAAAATTCAGAATACTACAAGTGACATCCTGTTCACTTTGTCCATACCATGATAGGATTGCTCCTAGTCTGAAATCAGATGCATCGGTTGCCAAGGTAAATGGCATGTTCATGTTTGGGTATGCCAGGAGGGGACAGCAAACTTCTGGAATACATGAAGATAATGTGCCGGCAACGAATAATAGCCTCGCTACAGATAGCAGACTACTTTATGTGTATGATGATGTATATGATGTGCTTGATCTTCCATAACAAGAACTAGTGTAGTGAGTTTGATATCCATGTAAAAAATGAGCTTGCATAACACCTTATTTACGAGTATGATCAAATGCCTTTCGAAAACAAGCGTTTTTCTAGCGGCACATTGGAACAAGATAGATAAAAATCGCGATAACAACCCCCTATATATATGTATGTTACGCGTCAGTGGCAAACAATAATCTTTGGACCGCGTAATACAAATCATAAGTCTGCGGAGTGTTTTATTTTCGGAACAATACGGTAATTGTTATCACACGGGCTCATAATGAGCCCCCACTGCAATCCACTTTTTTTTATTTTCGGTATATGAAACGATGTCTAGACGATATTCCAGATCCTTCTATGCGTAAACTACCGAGCGTAGAGTAATTAAAATTTAGCTAAGCTTAACGTTAAACTCTGTATAGTCTTTCTTATTTACGCTTTCAACGCGACATGTATCTATCATACGTACTAGATCATTCACTTGAAACCATCGTAACTTAGCCTTTACGTTGGTTAAGAAAATTATTAAATGTTCGCCACAGAGGAAAACAAAGTGAAACCACTACGTTACGGGCCGCGGCTCCGTTTTGATACAAGTAATAAGATTAACACAACATCTTAAACTTAACGAACGTACTCATTTACGAACGCTATGTCAAGCCTAGGTCTAAAAGGCGACGTATTCCCGCTCAATGGTACAAACATTTCCGAACTGTGGCACAGTAAATATTTGACCAGATTCGGGACAGATTTAGTGTCAGATATAAATAGAGATATATAGATGACCCGATACATATATCCACATCTGGTGTCAAATGTAAAATTGTGTTACTAGAGTGTGTCAAAATTCGATATAACGGGGTCTGATCGGCTACGCAGAAATCCAGTGTCAAAATTAGGAAACGGTAGTTAGACATATAAGCAGTTGTAGTTTTCCGCTCTGAACATTGTCTTCAGTCTTCAGTCTATTTTATTT